ATTGTTCCCCCGCAGCTGCTCTTAAGTTCGGCATCCCTGCGCCATGGCTGCTCCACCGGTGACGAGCAGAGTGAAGTCAGGCTGCTACTGACCCATCCTACCAGAGCCCAATCACACGGCGTCTGCAATCACATCTCACTGAGTGCAAAAAGGAAAATTAAAACATTTTTTCTCTTACACTTGAATGACACAGCACACTGTTCTGTGTTTGCATTTAAATTGGACAGAATAATTTAGCACTGGCTTTTAATTTCAGAAGGGTTAATCACCTCAGCAAAGGTCAATCAAACTTTAATCTCCAATAAAATTGCAGTAGCTTCAGTCACCTGCAGGACATTTATTATATTCTTATTTCCATGCAAAAGAATGCATCACTAATCTTCTAACTCTTTACATTAGCACATTTGCCATTAACATTTTACTGAAATTATTAATTCCTCTGCAACTATTACAAGAGCTCATTTCTACACATCTCAGAAGATAATCCTGTTAAAAACCAGCCACATCTACTGTGACATTGCTTTAGTTGTCTGCTCTAATCCTCACAACCGTTTGATACTCCAACTGAGTTCTAACAATGCACAAAGTCTCAATTACACAAAATATTACAGGGTTTAGTTCAAAACAACAATATACTGTTTTAGTAACTTAATCTTCCCTATTGTCTGCAATTACAATACTAATCTATTTTGCCACTATTCACAGCATTTTCCATTCAAAACAAAATATCGATTTTTAATTTTGCTTAGCTGCTCTCGAAAAGCAGTTAATTTGCAAGGATAAGTTAAAACCTATAATCTCTTACTGATGATAGAAGCAATATTTTTCTGGCCTGGAGAAAAGTATTTCCCCACAAAACAGAAACCTCTTTTGAGGCACAGCCCATCAAGAAGGAAAGAATGAAAGAAAGAAAGAAAGAAAGAAGAGAAAAGGTTTCAGCTGGCATTTCCAATTTGGTCTACTAATTAAACACAAGGCATCTGCAATAAATTTGACTGAGAACTGCAAAAATCTCTCTGAAAAATACAAATCAGAATTAGTTTAAAATTACCAATACATTAACATCAGTTCAAAACTATAAAATGGTTCAACTTCAAACAGAAAATTGTAAATTAGAAAAGAGTACACCCTCAAAATATTTCCTAGGTTTTTAATGAACATCAGCTACACTAGCTATACAGCAATACATTTCTTCAAGCATCTACTGTAACAATTTCATCTGAATGCTCAAGACTGTTTTACCTGTAAAGATGCAAAGAAGAGCAACAGAAAACTCGGGGAGAGCTCATTACAGAATTCGCTTCCCCCGATTTTAGAAACCGGTACCGAAAAGTTGAAATTACTTGGCAGAAAAATACTAATCAACCCAAAACAAAAGGGTCTGCCTTCCTCTCCCACCATGGCCCTATTAACCCCTGCGAGAAAGAGAAGGAACCTTCAAACGCGATCTCATTTATATTTAAAGCGGATTTTTTTAGCCATAATAACATTTTGACATACCGTAATGTAAATAAACTGTTCCTTCCCATCCCAATATTTCCTCCTCTGTCTCTCTGTCTCTCTCTGTCTCCGTCTCTCTCCTCTTTTTGTTTTAATATATGGCACACAGACAGACACACGCCCCCGTCACTGTCAATATGCACACTCATTAGCAATATGTCAGGCTGGCATTTTCAACACATACTCCAGAGCATAACTGAACTACCACGCAGAGCGCACACGCACACACACACACACAAACACACAATTGCAGCGAAGAAGAGCTCAGCGGAATCATTTTTAACTTGGAAAACTATGTAAATGTACAAAGGAATAAGTGAAATTCTCAGACAATATTTCATAAAGGTGCTGTGAAGCGGCTTTCCAGCTAACAGAACTGACATTGCTCTCGCATTTCAAACACACACACGCAAATACGCATATACAAACGTGAATGCTTTAGCAAGATATTTTAACACTGAATTACAAGTGCGAGAATATTGTGGTTTTCCTGCCTCTCTTCACCCTTTAAATTACAATCGCGCTTACAATAATGAACCAAGGCAGATACTGCAAAATAGAAACCTGAACTGAACTACCTAGAATATATACTGTCAACAACATTTATAATTCTTAGAACTGAGAAAATGAGCCATGAAAACAACTACATCTATATTTTTGGCAAGAAACATCTGGCAAGACAATGGAGAACGCTTAGAAAGGGTGAGTAGTACTGAACTAGGATTTTGATTATTCGCACTTTGATGTGCTGATAAAACATATTCTAGACTGCTATTATAACTGCTTTAAAATACTACAAAATAGCTTCATGTAGCACCCTAAAATGAAAGACACCATCAAAGGACCATTTACTTGATTTCGCTAAAGAACAAATACAGGAAAACGGTATGGGGAACGAAACATACCTTTAGTTACACCAGTGAACGACTTCTCAGCACATCTACATAGTCCTGCAGCTCCACTAGTACAAAAGTCGACACTGCAGTGCTTGTGATCTCTGTGACAATGGCATCATACTGCTGGCAATTTTTTCGATTAAACTTCTCAGACATGGTAGCAACTTTGTTAATTATGATATTAGCCAGCTGGCGGGTACAATCAATCATCCACTGTAAGAAAGCCAGACAAAGAGACATCTAATCATTGCAACCAGAGCAGATAAATTTTGTTCCTTTCTTATACGTGTCACAGATTCTATCCCTCCTGACCCTCTACACAGCCATCGACTGTCAAATTTAGATTCAGCAAGCTCCCAGGCTTTTCTTTATCCCTGCCTTAGATCTGAAACTCCTGGTTATCAGGAAGACAAGCGTCACCAGCTGTCTCAGAACAGGAAGGCAATCAGGTGAATAGTACTTATTATCTTTCATTGCTTTCTGAGGAGTGACAAGATTGATTTTGGACTAGCAACGCATCCAGATTTCAGACATAGTTGCGAGAGCTTCCAGTCCAGGATGCAGTGCATATGTAAAACTACAGGGAGGAGATTTGACCACAACCTTTATTAATGCTGCATACTAAAAGTTTGAGGGTTTGGGTTGGTTTTTTTTTTGGTTTTTTCCTTTTAAGAGAACTCTTAAAGTATTTTTTCCACCGCTGCATTGGATATTCCCTTATTTCAGGCCTCCTTCCCCCCACCTCAAAAAAAAACAGGCAAGCTGACTGCACTGTTACACAGGGGACTGTGTTTCACAGTTGGATAGTCTTAATTGGGCCCACAGAAGCAGTTAGCTGCCATTAAAGGCTTCTCTGTATACATCTTCCTCTCAACTAGTCTGATGGTCTATAAATCCCAACTAGTGAAGCCTACACTTTGAGAAGGTTAAAAACGCAAATAAATGATAAGCCCATAATACAAAAGCATCCTAAGAAAATTTGAGCTGATAGTTAATTTCAATAGCGCTTTAGAAAACAGTAATGTTTGAGCTTTTCATTTAATATGGCATTGGATAATCACGTTTTCTTGCTTTAAGACTTTTTTTTTTTCCTTTTTTTTCTTTTTTTTTTAATGAACTAAATACACTGCAAATACTGAAATACTGGTAATTCATATAAAGCAGAAACAAAGGATTCAACAGGATAAAAGCCATCACAATAAAGAACTCCAATACAAAAAAAATTGCACATTTTAAAATGCCTGCTGACAATTCCATTTAACAAATTAGAGCTGAGTACATTAGTCAATTAGTATTAATTTATAAGGACATGCAAAAAATGTTTATGATCACTTTTGGATCCATGCTACAAAGATTGCTTTTTCCAAAACTGTACCTTTTCAGACAATGCAATCTTATCCTTACTTCACTTCAGTTCAAGGCTAGTTTCATATTAAAGTTGGTATTCAGCGATACTGTGCACACTCATATGTACCGTATTAATCTCAAAGACAAAGATATTCTGAGCTTTGCAGCACAAGATTAGCCCCGCTTTTAATAAATCCTTTGGAAGTAATACATTTTTTCTTGAAAGTTTTCACATAATAGTTCAGATAAAATTTTCACACTTGCTTGAAAACTAAACAGAAAATAGCAACAGTTAGAAAACAGCAGCTTGCGGGAGTATCAATTATACCCTGAGTGCACTCCCTTGAAATGACAGTGTTACCAGAACTTGCTTTGCCTTTCAGAAGTCAAATTTTGCCTTTATGTAACTGTCTCATTTGGAAAGTTTATGAAGCCAAAAACAGTGATCATTACAGTGTTCATTCCTGGTCAAAACATAAACTAATAGTGTTCTGATATTTGTTCGAAAGAGTGCTGGCAGGAAAATAAATTACATCTTCAAATATACTAGAAAAGTGCACTGCACTTGGGGAATTGTCATCACAGCAGTCATTTCGGATGACTAACTAAGTATTCACCCAGCTTCTCAGGCAGATACTGAAGACTGTGCCAGTTCTGTGCTGCTACCTACACTCAAATTTTCAACGAGTCTAGAGCTAGCTCAAGTACGTCTGCACCATACTGTCACCAATGCAATGGCAGATACACTTGTAGAAAGCACAGTCCTAGCCAACTAAAATAATTAACTCACTTTATTAAAATACTTACAAGAGGATTTACTCAGAAGTTAAGGCAGGCCTTTGTGCATTATTCCTCCCTTACTTTTTTCTGTTACTATATTTGGATCAGATCCTGCTTTTTTAGACAGCATTTAAATATGAAGAAGTCATCTTGATCCCAGCATACAGCTTTAAGGCAAGATGAAATAACCGAGCGTCACAAACGAATGAGGGACCTGCGAAGGACTCGGCAAGAGGGGCTGCAGTAACAACTGATTCCTTTTTTTCTGGAAAGTGAATCAAATGCATCAGATACATAAGCCTATCCATAGTAGTATCTCCAGTCAGCTACCAGTATGGACCTGATCAGGTTTCTGAGCTGTCAGAAGAGATCTGAGCTTGCGGAACTGGAAAACGAACTGGATAGTAGCTGACAGGTATATGACAGGCTCACATTGAAAGCTATTTAAGAGCAGCACAAAAGAAGGTTCAAATCTGGTACCCTAGCAGCACTTACGTTTGGCCATTTTCTATAAATAGGTCCGGCTTTTCGCTCTCCCTCATTCACACATTTTCTTTTCTTTTTCATTAGCTCAGAGTTTATCCCAAAGGATGGAATTAATCTGACCCAGCCTCAGCTATTTATAAACAAGGTAGCTAGGCTGGTCATCTATGCTCTCCTGTATCACCAACAAGATGAGGGAGAGTGAGACAAGGATCTCCTGAGCATGAGTCATTATTTGGGTGCGATGACTCACACCCACTGTATGTACCGCTCACTCTCTCTGCTGGTTATAATGTAGACCTACATAACAGGTCTGAATTCAATGTTAACTCCACTTTGAACAGGAGGTTGGATTATTCGACCTCCTGAGGTCTCTTCCAACCTGTATTATTCTACTAATCTATGAACTAGCTAAGTCCATAAGGCAAAAGCAATAGAGATGGCAAAAGCTGATGAACCCCCCACTACATGTGTAATTCTCACAGGAGGGTAGAGAAGTCCCTCGGTAGTCTGGCTCTCCTTAAATGTTTTGTAAAAGCAGCAATTTTTCCCTTGTTTTTTTTTTTCCCCTTCCGTTGATACCTAAAGATGAGAATTACCAAATCATCTATACGAGATGTGTAGAGAAAGGAAAACATCTCAAAACATCTTCACCAAGAAGACAGTGCAGAAAGACTCAGTGGAAGGCACTTGACAGCATGCTTAGCAGAGAAGGAGAAAGATGAATGGTAAAGAAAAAGAAAAGTTAGGGTGAGGTAAAAGAAAAATACATCCTTAGCAAGGAGGTATGTACAGCAAAGGACATGCCACAGCCTAAAGCATGTCCAATTTAAAACAAATAAACACCATGACCATAATAATGATGGTCCAATTTCAAAGAGGAGATTTATTCTGGTAAAGACAAGATTATCCCAAGCTTTTCACGGAATCTGTTGCACTCACAGAGCAAAGAAAATCATCAAAAGGAAAAAAAAGGGAGGAAGGGGAAGGAAGAAACCACAGAAGAGAGTAGGTTCTACGACTCAAAGCAAAAAGTAAAAAAAATCCTAAAACATTTTGATCAGCGTAACAGTCAGAATTGCACTGCACAATGCCAGACTGACAAAAACCCATTTAGTTTTGAAGTTATATATACCTGTTCATAAGCCTCACTTTTAAAATGCCAGTCTAATAAACCTTCCATTTATACTCTAGTAAATCTTTCAAATCTTCCATTCAGCACTTCATTACAGAAAATTAAGTGAAATTAAGTGATAATATATGTAAACTATATATTTAAAATAATGGACAATGTAATGAAAGGAATACTTTTCACACTGTAATCCTATGGGCTTGGAAATTAACTTTTAATGTTCAGTGGCCGCCTATTCATACAGAGCCTACAGGTTTGACTGCTACAACACACAAACTAGGAGAAGGAACACGAGGGCATGAAGCCAATGCAGGACGGTGCACAGATGCTGGTCGGCACATTTAGGGGAACGCTTGTGGCAGAACATGAGTCTGAGAAGCAACATCCCCCTGTGGTAAATCCCCTCCTGTAATCAGGAGATTTGAACACTCAGTGATACACTGACCCTCTTACTCACCGATTCCCTCCTCGTTCTGAGAAAGAGCATATGTAGCTACAGACAGAGAGCTTATGGTATAGTTTTTCATTTTGGCATGTCATATGCATCAAAAATAGACAAGGATTTACTTTATTTTATTTTTAGCAGCACAAATCAAGAGTCAGCCTGCATCACAAACTGTACATATATTTTACCGAACAGAATGAAACCACAAATTTTAACAAAGCAGAATAATGTCTGCCAAGGTCGCATGCAGCTTCTTCGGTCAGAAGCTCCACAAGGCAGATGTGGAGAGGCCAAGTGTTGCATCAGTTCTTAACACAGAATGAACAGAGGCAAAATATTAATGCATTATAAGAAAAATAATCATGCTTACATTCTAGGGACTGGCAAGAAAGGAAAGTAGTAACAGTTTCTCCTCCTGCACCTTTCATTATGGCCAACAGGTTCGATTTTATCCTGTTATAATATTGTCAGTACACATGAACTAAAGGACTTTCATGTTATTCAGCTGTGACTAGCAGTAAGGGAGCCTGAGAACTATGAAAAATCTTTCCTTGCCACTCCCTTCTTCTCGCACCACTATTCTGTTATTGAACATTACCCACACTAGTAACCAGATATATTTCCTTATAAACTGATCGGTAAGAACAGATATACTGGCTCAAACACCAGCGTCCTATCCTTGACAGTGTCCAGGAGCAGGTGTTCAGGAAGAAGAAGAAGGACAAGCACACAGCAATTTTTCCCCAGGCCTCTCTCCACCTGCGGTTCAGAAGTTTACTTACATGTTACATCAGCAGTAGGGAAGATTTCAGTAAAGTTTCCCAGTGGCCCAGAATGATTAAAATCAGTACCAACCGCACATGGCTCGATACTTAACAACATACCTGTACAACAGTAAATAAGAAACTAACAGTGAACTCTAATCTGCAAAAACAATTATATTCCTATTACCAAAAAAAAAAAAAAAAGAAGAAGGTCCGTCATTCACATTCTGACTGCAGAGCCTGTGCCGCTCTGGGTTAAAGA